TTAATATTCCTTTTCAGCTTTAAAAAAATGTTTACTCCAATAAGAATACTGATATTTGGTGAAACACACTTGACTATTTGTGCTCGAATATGTCGTTTATGGAGGAATATAGATTACAATTCAGGAGAACTTATCAGTCTCGATATGCTATTGGTTGATGAAGAGGTAATGTAATATGCTCTCTTTATATATTATATGAATAGAAATATATAGAAAACATATATATTTATTACTCAACATACAACAAATAACAATCTAATTCATACTTTTACAGCACGAAGCAATACATGCAGTTATCCGATCAAGAGATGCTGACTACATGAGTCAAATAATTGAAGAAGGTAGCATATATGAGATTAATAATTTCTTCATCGATAGGAACAAACCAAGATATAAAATTGTTCCCTACGTGGCAATGCTACGAATTGCTAGAACAACAGTTTTTAAACATGTTCCTGAAGATGTGCCTGAGATACCTTGACAAAAATTTAATTTTTTCGCATTTGATCAACTTTCTCCAAGAATCGACGTCAACGATGTTCTCTCAGGTTTGTTTATTTTAGTATCTATTAATAATAATTGAAGAAGGCAGTATATATGAGATTAATAATTTCTTCATCAATAGGAACAAACAAAGATATAAAATTGTTCCCCATGTGGCAATGCTACGAATTGCTAGAACAATAGTTTTTAAACATGTTCCTGAAGATATGCCTGAGATACCTCGACAAAAATTTAATTTTGTCGAATTTGATCAACTTTCTTCAAGAATCGATGTCAACGATGTTCTCTCAAGTTTGTTTATTTTAGTATTTATTAATATTGTTTACTCAAACATTTCTTATTTTATAATAATTAAAACTAATTGATTACAAATTTATTATTTGTATCAAATATAATTGATCGACTTATATCGTTCTATGGTATTGAAGAATCTGCTATCAGTGACAAAATTGTAAAAAGAAGAAGTTTCACAATTCAAAATATAAGGTAAATACAATACTAACTATTATTATGACAATAAATTGAAAAGATTCAAGCATATTTAGATATTTATTGTTATGTTATACATTGTTCTATACAGAGAAGAACAATTAAGTATAACGCTGTGGGGACAAGCGGCAGAGTTTTCAATGAAATTGTTGTGCAGACATTGGCAGAACCAATTGTAATTGCTTTTATACCCATGGCAGCAAAAAAGTACCACGGTTATTATTCCTATTATAGTATATATTCTAATTTCTTATGAAACTAACTGTAAATATCCATTTATTACAAGAAGACTTTATTTAGCAAACACATATGGTACTTTATATTATTTGGATCTAGAAATTGCCGAAACACGAATAATTAAACAAATGTATAATAAAAAATAATAATTTTTCTGTTATTCACATATATATTTTTCTATTTTCCTTTATTCATATATTTAATGTAAACACAAAACTTATTTCCCTACCGACTCCGTCATTCTATTCAGAGTTTAGAGTATATTGCCAAGTCTACAAGACCAACACTATCAGTAGAAGAGCATAAAAATATGAACCGCATTACCATTGCAGAATTACGAACATTAGATCCATTTCATAATCGGGTAAAAACTTTATAAATATAATATATTAAATAGTGTATATATATATATATTCAATTAAAGTGTTTTTTTGTCTATTTTACAGGAAACAAAATATACAGTTAGAGCAACTATAACTGACCTCAATTTGTACCAATGATGGTTTTATTATGCATGCATAAAGTGTTACAGACAAGTGCAAGAATCTAAAACATCATGGTGGTGTGACACTGATGGATATCTATCTACGATGCCACAACTTGGTAATAACTTCTATTACCAAAAAAAAAAATTCCCATTCACAAATATAATAAATGCAATTTTTTTTGCACAGGTACAAAATAAATGTACAGATTGAAGATGACACTGAAAAACAAACGATGTAATGTTCGGTAAATCAGTACAATCCCTTATTAACAAAGCTTGTTCTATACTTACTTATGAGGAGGAGTACACTGATCGCTACATGATTACTCCCATTTTAGAACAAATAAGAGGAATGTCAAAAATATTTGTTATACAATTTTGTACTTGAGGTGCTTTTATCGACAAAGTTGTTTTAAAAACTTTTAACGACGATCAACCTCAGTTGTACTTACCTCCTACAACAACTGAGTTTTCAAAGGAAACCACATCAGTTTCGCAGCCAATTCAGCCCGTTTCAGTCCCACACGACTTTGTCTCTTCTGTAAATTCGTAAAAAAAAAAAAGAAAACAAATCAGGTAATATTATGCGTTATATATTATATTAAATATTTTAGTAAATATGAACACATTTATTACTATCGATTATAATTTAACAATATATGTTTTGTTCTTTCCATTTTTCTTCATTGTACCTCAGAAAAAACAACAAAAAAAGCAAAAAGGAATAAATATGTGAACAAATTTATGTATTTGTATAAATAAGTATGTATATTATTATTTACAGAGATATACATGTAAATAAACTTGTATATACGTGTTAAAAGTTGACAGCAACTTATAAACAAAGTTTTTATTATGTATCATATTTTGTAATAACTTTTAAATATCTTTTTCACACATTTTTTTTTTCAAAATAATTAACAACATAATTTGTACATTTTCTCATTTTAAATTACTATTAATGAAATTATTAAATATCTGCGCAACCGCACGGATAATCCACTAGTTATATATATTATGAGAGGTACACTTTTTACTGTTTTTTGAACAGTGTCAATTCTTTTTTATCCCTCAACTTTTGAAAAATTTCATGTCCCCTTACTTTTATTTTTACCGTTTTACCCTCATATTCTTTTTTCTTTATTTGTTTTTTGTTTGGGCGTTTTGATCATTTTCGTGGTATATACTATCGATCTTTTTTGTTTCTTAACTTTTGAAAAATTCTGTGTGTGTCCCCTCACTTTTGCTTTTACCATTTTGCCCTCAACTTCTTATTCCTTCATTTGTTTTTTATTTAGACGTTTTGGTTATTTCCGTGGTATATACTAAATGTCTTAGAAAACTTTCAGGAGAAGCTTTGTTAACCCTTTTTTTTCCTTTTTGTCCCTCCCTTTTTTTTTTTTGTATATTACTCATTTAGTGTCAATTGAAGTGAGAAATTATATTTTGAATAGTGCACTTTTAACCAAAACGACGTAGTTTTGGTTGAAAGTGTACAACTTTCTCACTTTTTTTGAGTCTTTTATTTTAGGTTGTTTTTTACTTTTCATCCTAAAACTTATTCGGTTTTTTTTTATTTTAGTCTTTTTGACTTTTTTATTTTTTTTTCTTTTTGTCCTAAAATTTTATTTTCATTTTCATTTTGGTTCTTTTTGCTTTAAAATTTGATCATTATTCCCTTTTGGTTTTTTTTTTAATTGATAATGTTTCTTTGCTTCTTAGCCTAAAATTTTTTTTTTACCCTAAAGCTTATTTATTTCTTCATTTTAGTCCTATTTTATTTTTTTTTACTTTTTGTCCTGAAATTTTTTCCTTTTTTGTTCATTTTCCCTAAAACTTATTTATTTCTTCATTTTAGTCATTTTGAGCTCTTTTTTATTTTGTTTTGGCTCCTTTTGTCTTAAAACTTATTTATTTTTTCATTTGGTCTTTTTTTAATTTTTTCTCAAAATTTTATTATTATTTTTGGATTTGGTTCTTTTTACTCTAAAATTTAGTTATTTATTCATTTTTTACTTTTGACCTTTTTTTAAAATTTTATTTTTTCGCTTTGTTTTTTTCTAAAAGAATATTTATTTATTCATTTTAGTCTTGTTTTGACTTTATTTTAGCTTCTTTTTCTAAAACTTTTCTTATTTTGGTTCCTCATTGAGATTTTATATTTTCTTAATAATAACATGACAATTAGTTAGTTATAACTTAACACACAAATTACTTTCTACGTGTAAAAATACGTGTGACACATTTAGAACTAATTTCAAAATGATTTTATTTTTTGTATGAAAATGAAAATAAAAACGTTTTTAATCTGAGACAAAAATTATTTTTAAAAATGCGTTTAGTAGTTTTATCAAAAGATTATTTTCAGCATAAAAAAATCTATTAATGTCTCACTGTGCTTGAAAGAAGAGAAAAAAAAAACCGATTAAAAATCATTTTTTTATTTCCTTCACATTTTATACTAAATTAAAAAATTATTTTTATTTCCGTTTTTTATAGTTCTAACTAGTGGGAACCCTCGTAAGTAGGGGTGTAAATCGGCCGGGTAGAGTAAGGTTGAGCCGAAAAATTGAGCCTACCCGACTAGTGCGGGTTGAGAAAATTTTAAGCCGTGACACTCTCTTAAGTCTACAAACCCGCAACCTTTCGGGTGACCTCGGGTAGGGTCGGGTTACTCGGGTTGGTGAAAACCAATTTTAATCTATGACTTCATTAATTTTAATAAATTTTTAGTCAATTAATCTGTGCTTGTTACAGAAGAAATCATTATCAAACAGAACATGTCTTTTCTTCAAGAGGGGGTCTAAATGCAAGGTGAACAATTAAAACACTCACTTTGAAATCAAACACTTCCAATATAAATAAAGAATGCCCTAATTCAACAACTATGTCATACAAGCATTTTTTACACAAACCGTGAATCCAAAACATAAATAAGTTAACAGTTTAAAAGCATAAAGTACATAAACTTATGAAAATAAGAATTTGAAGTGTTGGACATTATTTTACCTACTTTGAACATGTTCGGCCGGGTAGGGTTACCTCGGGTTCATGTAACCCCATTCCGTGCCTCTACCGGTGCAGTACGGATTAGGCATAATTAAAACAAAAAATTAAATAAAAAATTAAAAACTCGTGATTTTCAAGTAGGATCGACTCGGCTCGGCCGGATTCGTCAGGTTCGGGTGATTTCTTACGGCCTTACTCGCAAGCTTCACACTGACAACAGCTTCTGATATAAAACCCCCAAAATCAAATATTCAATTTCCAGTTTTCAGAAACATACTAAAAGGACGTCGTGATAAAGCTTCCAGAGCAAGCAACAATGGCGACGGAGGAGACCAAGATCAGCGTCCTGTGCAGCCTCTTCAACTGGATGCTTCGGAGCAAGCCCGCCGCCAAGAAGCGCTCCAAGTTCCGCAAGTTTCTCGACACTTTCTGCAAAAATGGCGACTACTTCCCCGCCATTCGACTGCTCCTCCCCAACCTCGACCGTGAGAGGGGATCCTACGGCCTCAAGGAGTCCGTCCTCGCGACGTCCCTCATCGACGCTCTCGGCATCTCCAGGGACTCCGAGGACGCGCTCCGCCTAATCAATTGGCGGAAGGGCGGCGCCGCCAAGGCCGGAGCTTACGCCGGTAACTTCGCCCTCGTCGCCTTCGAGGTTCGCCTTTTTCCACCTTCTCTCTCTCCGAGGAGATAGTTGAGCGATGATACATGTGGTTTGCCCTAACGTAGGATCTGATTTCTGAGATATAAAAGAAAGGAAATGAAATGAAATCTTATTGTCATGATTATTAATTTAAGAAATTGTAAAAGAAAATCTATGATTATTTTTTGATGATCGGACATTAAGAAAAATTGCATCTTTTTATGTAATTCGTATGGTTTTCTTATTAGAAACTTGGGAATAAAATTTTTCTAGGCAAGTTGTTTTGGAAAAATTGTTTGGGTGTCTGCTTTGTGCTTGTTATTATTTGCACCATGAGAGTTCAGTTGCTTGGAATCAAAGAAATTAAGATGAACTTAAGTTAGTTGCATGGAATCAGTTGCTTTGCATTTGCGACTTTTTATTGCAGTTAGTCTTTCTTCCGTTTTTTAGGGATTAATTTTTTAAAAATGAAGACCCTGTATGTGATGTTTTGCATAGTGTTAGAAGGATTACAGATGATAAATACATTTTTAGGAAATCCCAAGGTTTTTTTTTATAATTATTTTTTTTTTGGGAAAAGAAACAGAGAACTCTTAGTAATGGGAAAAAATTTACAAGAGAATACAAATGGAAAAGGGAAGAGGTTTCCCAAACTAGAACGACTATACCCTGATAACTAAAACAAACAAAACGGGGGTGGATCACGGAAATGGTGCCCAACATCTGACCAGTTCTGAAAAAACTGGCCTATCAAACTCTTTGTAGGCCAAAAATTTTAACTCTTTGAAGTAATTTTATAAACCCAATTCAAATTTTAACTGTTATCAAATAGTCCAAAAATGTCCTGAACCAACTTAGCAGCTTGGGTTCGGAACAAGATGTTTGGGAGAGCTCAAAGCCATGTAGGGGCTACTACAATAACCGCTCAACTTTCCTCAGGGCTAGAAGTTCCGAAGTATGTTCGACACAATTTTTGAATGATTCATACAGTTAAATGATTTAATTACTTCTTTGTAACACAGATACTGGAGCGTAGGCAAGGAATGGCTTCTGGTGGACTAACAATCAAGGAGCTGAATGACTTGCTGGATCGTTTGGCTTCAAGTGAAAGCAGGCATACTTTTAGCATCTTCTATACTTACTAATTGAATCTTAGGCATGCATATTGATTTAGCCTGATAGGGGCATAGTTGATTTACATATATTTTTTAGTGTTATATGAATCAATGATGGGAACAGGTCAGAGAAGATTTCAGTTCTCTCTACTTTGATTAGCAAGACAAATGCACAAGAAATGAAGTGGATTATTATGATTATTCTAAAAGGTGCTGATTATTAACATTTGGATTTGGATTTTTCCTTAATTCACAATTAGTTTTGATTTTTATCGTCACTTTTGTAGATCTGAAGTTGGGGATCAGTGAAAAAAGCATCTTTCATGAATTTCATCCAGATGCAGAAGACTTGTTCAATGTCACCTGTGACTTGAAATTGGTCTGTGAAAAGCTTAGAGATCGAAGTCAACGCCATAAGCGTCAGGTGCACTATAAAGATGAAAATGGATCTATATATGTATATACATTTTACTTCTCAAACCTACTTGTATTTGTCATCTCTGGTCTCTGGTCTTTTTGGTATATTCAGTTTCCTCTGAACTTTCTCTTCTGTTTTTTTTTTTTTTGGCTTATGAGGCGTTTCTGAAATTTAAATTGTTTTTAATGTAAACTTTAAAATGCACCAGAAAGAGCATGTCAAACCTGCTATGTACAAATGTTATTTATGCTGTCGTTTTTGTTTCTTCAGCCAAAGAATGACAGAGGAGAAGATAATTATGCATAATTTATTTTTCTTTTTTTTACGTGTTTAGAAAAATTTGCATTCAACAAGAAGTTTATTGAATTATATTTATAGGACATTGAAGTTGGAAAAGCAGTTCGTCCTCAACTAGCTATGAGAGTTGCGGATGCAACTACTGCATGGAAGAAGGTTTGATACCAACATTAACGTTTCTTAACTAGATGAGCTTGTGTTATCCTTTATACTTGACAGCCTTGACATCTCCCTAAGTAGGGCAGTTATATTCTTTTCTGAGTTTTGATTCATTGATAATCTTCTTCTTTTTGTGTAAATGATTCTCGGGTTTGATTCTGTTCTTGATGCTTATGTTTTTATGATATGTTTGTTGTTCTCCACTCTTTGTTGTCTCTTTAGCTTCTTGGAAAGGAAGTGCTTGTTGAGTGCAAATTTGATGGTGATCGCATCCAAATTCACAAGAATGGAACTGATATACATTACTTCTCAAGGTAGTGACATATGTTCTCAATAACTCTCCGTTGTCGTTGCTATCCTTTTCTGTGTTGTTAGTCACTATTTTATATTTATAAATGTGGCATGAATGATAGTATAGAGATGCTTTTTCAGGTTCACAAGACATGGGCCTGTCTCACTTTTTCCATATGCAGAGACGTTGAAATGTTTTCCATTTTATGATGATTGCTATGTTTTTATCTCATGCAGGAATTTTCTTGATCACACAGAATATGAACATGGAATGTCGGATATTATTAAACAAAATGTTCTGGCTGATAGGTATACATCTGCATAAATAATGAGGCCACCAGTTCACAAAGTTATGCCTTTTCTAACTTATGCAATGAGATTTTAATTAATTCCTTACATGCTGTCAGGTGTATATTGGATGGTGAAATGTTGGTGTGGGACACATCTTTAAATCGTTTTGCCGAGTTTGGTTCAAACCAAGAGATAGGTCTTTTAATATATACAGTAACGTTTTAGCATTTTTGCTATTAGCATGACTCACGCTCATACAAATATAAACATGCAAATACATACATAATAAGTACATGCTTACACGATTCTTCTATTTTGCAGCTAAGGCAGCAAGGGATGGATTTGATAGTGATCGTCATGTATTCTTTCTATCACAGTATCGCTTTACATTTACGTAGTTCAATAGTAAACTTGGTTTTCTATTTAGATTCATTTTTAATTTTGATTTTCTTCTTGATGCAGTTATGCTGTATCCTTTTAGTATTTGAATTCGTCAAGTTATAGTCCAGCTTCATTATTGAGGCCTGAAGTGTTTTGTTTTCTCTTGTTCTGGATTGTGGGAAATGTCAACCACGTCCACATACTTTTCAAGTAAAAAACACAAATAATTAGTCAAAGGATAGTGACCTTGACATGAGTATGACTAGACGTTGCATTTGATATTCTTTATGTTGGAGACACAAGTGTAATTCATCAGAGCTTGAAGGAACGACATGAGCTGCTTCAAAGAGTTGTGAAGTCTTTGAAGGGCCGTCTAGAAATCTTACTACCAGATGGTGGTGGTCTTAATACTCGTCGTTCTCCAGGTAAAGAAAGATCATAGATCTTATTGGGTACTCCACATTTTATTTGATTAATATTTTTTTTTAGTTCGTGGATTATTTTCATTTCTCATTGTAGTTGGTTGGAGATTTAACTGTTAGTTGATTGTTGGTAAGGTTAATACTACTTATTGCTCATAACGATGTTGTTTGTAAGGTTAATACTAATTTTGTTAGCATTTTGTTGCACACTTGACATACTTTGGCTGTGTGTGACAGGTCAAACAAATATGTTTTACTCTTTGCTGCATTTAGCATACCTATCTGCATAAAAAAATGACTCACACACAAGCACTATGACTTGTACAATACATTCTAACTAGGCCAAGATTCGTACTTTTGCTAATTTTTCAGGTGAACCTTGTTGGTCGCTTATTGCTCATAACGTTGATGATGTTGAAATATTTTTCAAAGAGACTATTGAAAATAGGTAAGCATGATATTCAGTTTGCTAATATTAGATATTTTGGAAGCTATGAGGTTTGGATAAGCGCTTAGCAGTTTAGTTAGATTAATGTGGACCATGCAATTACGCAGGCTACTTTACTTATTGTGTCTAAGGGGGTGTTCTTTTCGTGGGTTTGAGTGGAAAACTAAAATTGAAATTCAATCTTTTTTTTTGAGAGAAAACACTGTGCTAAAGGGTTGAATTGTGATTTGAATCTACGAAAAGAACGGGGCCTAAGCTTTTCAACACTAAGAGTTCATTTGGTACGAGGATTCAAACCAAGCTGATTCTGAATCATGGTTTCAGAATCATGATTTGAACCCAAAATCATAAATCATGATTCTGGAACCAGAACCATGATTTATGATTTTGGGTTCAAATCATAATTCTGAAACCATAATTCAGAATCAGGGATATGAATCACCTTGAATCGGGGGGGGGGGGGGGGGGTGGTTTTTAAAACATTACATCAGATTCCGAATCATGATTCAGAATCATCCAAATCAAACACTGATTCAGAATCATTGTAAACAAACACTGATTCTGAACCAGGATCCAGAATCATGATTCTGGATCCATCTACCAAACGCACCCTAATAGTCTCTCAATTTTCTCCTAACCTGTGGTGTTGAACTACCCTTCATATGCACGTTCTATAAGATTCTAAACTGGATTGAAATCTCTGGCTTACATATATTTTGATTTGCAGATCAAGGCTTATATTAATATTTTTAAGTTGTGATAAATTTACTAATATAGAAAAGGGAAGGGGGGAAAAAAAACTGTGGGCTGTGTGCTTGTATGGTCATATCAGAGTGGTTCCCTCCCATTTCTTTTATGAGGCATGGTACCTTGAAACATGGTACCATGAAACCATGGCCGTCTAGAAAATCTTACAGCATTTAATGGAAGGAAATTATTATGCATTTATACAGATGGCTTTATGAAGCATGGTACCTTGAAACCATTTATAGTCAGCCAGTTAATTGTTTGTTTGTGTTGAATAGGAGAGCCAGCTTGTGTTATTGTTACCTGCTCTTGTTAGGAATTTTCTTTGGGTGTCAAGAATATGCTTTAAATTCCGCCTATTTTGGAATTTGTGTTGGGACATGATTTTATCATAACAAATACATTTTTCAAGAAAAGAGATTCTCACTTGATCACTTTTAAGAATGGGAGGAACTTGAGCTAGATAGATTATTTTCTCACAAGGTATAGAGAACGTTCTCTATGTAAGAATTGTGAAGTAATTCCTGGAGAAGTACTAGCTACCCAACATAGGTTAGTGATCTTAGATGTGGGCATTAAGCTTGGCTATAGAAGGACTAAGATAAACCACCTCCCACGTACTCGTTGGTGGCATTTGAAGGGAATAAAGCAATTGACCTTTAAAGAGAAGTTGTTAGATGAGGCTACTTGGTCATATATAGGTGATGCAAATACTATGTGGGATGCCATGGCCAGCTGAATTAGAAAAGTGGCAAAGGAGGTACTAGGGGAATCTAGAGGTAAAGGCCCCCCAGGGAAAGAAACCTGGTGGTGGATTGACGAAGTTCAAAAGGCTATTAGGACTATTAGGACCAAGAGGGATTTATATAGAGATTTACCAAAGCGCAAGGATGTTGAAACTTTTAATAAGTATAAAGAACCGAAGAAAGAAGCTAAGCGAGCAGTTGGTAAGGCTTGTTCTATTTACTTAGATGAGGTATATAGGAAACTTGGGGCTAGAGAAGGAGAGAAGGATATATATAAACTAGCTAGGATAAGAGAAAGGAAGTGTCGGGACCTAAATTAAGTGAGGTGTGTTAAAGATGATACGGATCAGGTTCTGACAAAAGATAAAGACATTAGGGAAAGGTGGAGTAGTTACTTTGAGAAGCTTTATAATGATGATCATGCGATAGAGTTTGACGATCTTAGGTCACAAGGAGAACCTAATGTGATGTATACAAGCGGAATCAAAGTCTCGGAAGTTAAAACTGCACTACGGAAAATGAAAAAGGGGAAGGCATGTGGGCTAGATGATATATAATAGAGGTTTGGATGGTGTTAGGAGATGTTGAAATTGTGTGGCTCACTAAGTTTTTTAATGAAATACTAAAAAAGCAGCATATGCCCGATGCATGGAGGAAAAGTATTCTTGTCCCCCATCTTCAAGAATAAAGGAGATGTGCTGAATTGTAACAATTATAGGGGCATAAAGTTAATAAGCCACACTATGAAACTTTGGGAGAGTTATTGAATGGAGATTAAGGGCCACAACTACCATCTCAGGTAACCAATTTGGCTTCATGTCAGGCAGATCAACCACGGAAGTCATTTTTATTCTTAGGATGCTGATGGAAAGGTACAGAGAAGTCAAGACGGACCTACATATAGTCTTTATAGATTTAGAAAAGGCATATGATAGGGTGCCAAGGGAAGTTTTATGGTGGGTGCTAGAAAAGAGAGGAGTGCGTGTGAGGTATATCAAGGTAATTAAGGACATGTACGATGGTGTGGTCACAAGTGTGAGAACTGTTGGAGGCTACACGACAGAGTTCCCCATTCGGATCGGCCTTCATCAAAGATCTGCTCTTAGTCCTTATTTTTTCACCATCGTGGTGGATGAGCCGATGAGCTGACAAGAGAAATTTAAGATAGAGTTTCTTGGTGTATGCTTTTTGCGGACGATATAGTTTTAGTTGATGAATATAGGGAAGGAGTTAACCGTAAGTTAGAACTGTGGAGACAGACTCTCGAGACGAATGGATTTAAGTTAAATAGAACGAAAATTGAATATATGCATTGTAGGTTTAGTAACTCAAGTAATCAGAGTGATGGAATTTCTTTAGATGGTGTGGAGATTGGGGCTTCGAGGAAGTTTAGGTACCTTGGGTCTATAGTGCAGTACGAAAGAGCTATAGATATTCAACATAGAATTAAGGCGGGGTGGGTTAAGTGGAAGAATACTACGGGAGTTTTATGTGATGACAAGATGCCTATTAAGTTGAAAGGAAAGTTCTATAGGACTGTAATCCGCCCAACTATGTTATATATCTAAGATGAGTGTGGCAGAAATGCATATGTTAAGATGGATGAGTAGCCATATGAGAATGGATCGCATAAGGAATGAAGTTATTCGTAGTAAAGTAGGTGTAGCACCAATAGAAGATAAGGTGCGTGAAGACCGCTTGAGGTGGTACGTGCATGTTCAACGTAGACCGCTAGAAGCACTAGTTCGTGCTTGGGAGGACATTCTTATACCTAATACTAGGAGAGGGAGGGGTAGACCAAGAATTACGTGAGCCGAAGTAGTTGGGAAAGACATTCTAGATCTAGGCCTTCAGGAAAGTTTAATTTTGGACAGAGCTGCGTGGAAAAGTGAAATCCATATAGCCGACCCCAATTAAGTTGGAATTAAGGCTTGTTGTTGTTGTTGTCAAGAATATGCTTTACAACACGATGAGCATTTCTAGCATGGACTCTAGAAATGTTCTACAAATTATGCTTCTCTATTTAACTTTTTTTTTTTTTTCATCCTTGTCTGATGTAACAATTCTTTGTCCAATGCTAAACCAATTCTTTGTCCAATGCTAAACCTTTGCGTACATGCTCCTTATGTTTAGGGTTAACATGTGAAAACTAATGTGCACACACCTCCTTTTGGAGAAACTGTAAATTAAAATGGAATCAAAGCAATTGTTTTGGATATGAAATCAAAGCAGTTGTTTTGGATATGAACGTTTAAATTAGTATGGTAACCCATCGCGGTAGTAACATATGTTTTGATTGAAATCTGTTAGGATCCTGGTTGAGTCTCACATTGCTAAAATATGGGTTTAGCATGTGGGTTTATAACCACTTGGGCACCATCTCCTTACAAGCTAGCTTTTGGGGATGAGTTCTACCCAAAGATTGTAACAATTGGTATCAGAGCACGCCCCACCTCATTCCCACGTTGCAGAAGGGGCGACTTGAAAAGGCTAGAGTGGTCCATCTAGAGTGGGCCGCCGTGGACGTCGGTGTTGGAAGCGTGGTGGTATGTTAGGATCCTAGTTGAGTTCCACATTGCTAAAGTATGGGTGTAGCATGTAGGTTTATAACCACTTGGGCACCCTCTCCCTACAAGCTAGCTTTTGGGGATGAGTTCTACCCAAAGATTGTAACAATTAGAACCTCACTAGAATTGGCTGCAATAATAGAGAAATATAGATTGATATTTGATAGAGAAAATAGAAAGCTACAATGGTTGATAGACTTTTGAGAGGCCTATCTCTCTCCCAAAAGAGCAAGCTGTAACGAAAACACTCAATAATCACCCCCTCCCTTAGTCTCTTTCTATTGCTTATATACTACTACTAACTAGCTTAACAAAACAACTAACTCTAATTAACAAACCACTAACCACTTATTATGTTGATTACTAATTACTAACATAATCCTATCTGTATTTCTATATGTCTCTATTATTGCAGCTAATTCTAGTGAGGTTCTTATCAAAATCAAGCGCTCAGAGTTAGGTCCTTAGCCCTTTTCTTTAAGAAATTGTGATCTCTCCGGTGCATGTCATATCTGGGATTTGTGTCATGCAGTGACATTAGACCGAAAACCTATAGTTCTTGGACAAGCGAAAGATTGAAATTCTAGTGTTTTCAAGCTACCTTTATTTCTTAGTCAAAAGCTTCTATGTAAACCTTCTAGGGCATCCACAATAGTAGATTTGTAGCTGAAATCGAATACATCAGTCCAATTTAAGGATGTACAGTCCACTCAACATGTCTTTTGAAAAAAAAAAAAACATTTATTATAATGATTTATTTATTTCTGTTTATTTTATTGGATGATCCAGATTCTTCTCCTGCTTCAGTATTCGTGCAGATAGACTTCATCACTTTGGTTCTGATCAGTGGTTGAGAAAACTAACCAGTGTTTTATTTTGGATATGCGTAATTCAGTTTTTCTTTTATTAAAATTTTGAGATCACTTTGGTTCAAATTTATAGAAAAGGAATATAACAGCTAAGCTAATTTTACATTTGGACCTTTGATTTCCATTGATGAGTTATTTAAGTTTTATTCTTGAAGTTTGATTTATCAGTTATTTGTCTTCTCGATTTCTTAAGATACAATCATTTCTCATTGTTATAGAGATGAAGGGATTATTCTGAAGGATCTTGGTTCCAAGTGGGAACCTAGTGATAGGAGTGGAAAGTGGTTGAAATTGAAGCCTGATTATGTTCGTGCTGGTTCTGATCTGGATGTTCTCATAATAGGTCTGTAATTTTTAACCCTTCTACACCAAGGCAACATATATTTTAAGTTCCTCTGAAATTGTGTGTACATGTTATTAGGGGGATACTATGGCTCTGGACGTCGTGGAGGGGAGGTTAGTTTTCATTCTTCTTCTTCTTCCTTTTTTTTTTTAAATTTATTTTTAAAGTGTGATCGTTTTGTAAGAAGTGTAATCGTATGGCAGGTGGCTCAATTCTTAGTGGGCATTGCAGAGCGTCCAACACCAAATACACATCCAAGACGGTAAGAATTTCTAAGCTGACATTTCTATACGCGATAATTTGCTTGGCATCTGTAAAATTTCATTTGCGACGATGCTGTGATCATTTTATGCTTAAGTAAATAGTCCTGTGATACTCGTGATGATCATCACATTATCCTGTCTCTCCACCCTCTCTCTTGTATAAAGGCACTCTAAATAGGTTCTTTATTCACAACGGAATTTCTATACTTGTTATTCAGTTGAAATAAATTTAATGAACCTATTTGTAATTAGTACTAGTATCATCTCTTTTGTGTAAATGACAGATTAACCAATGGTTCTAATAGAAATTTATTTATTGCAGATTTATATCGTTTTGTAGAGTGGGTACTGGACTTTCTGATGAGGATCTAGATGCTGTTGTAAACAAGTTAAAGCCTTTTTTCAGGTACTTTGAGGCAACTTTATGACATTATGATCTTTCAGTGTTCATAAAATACACAATAAGTTAAATGAGTACAATTCTGGTAATTCTTGGAGAAAATGTTTGGAGAGAAATTTCATTGTAATTACAGTGTTTGCTTAGTTGCGACTGCTCTTGTGGCCCAAAATCATTCACACGTCATGAAATAACCAAGATACAGTTACTTTTAGGATTATTGTTTTCCTCCTTTTACAGAGAATTCTGAGCTCCTCTCTTGATGGTTTGTCAGGAAGTATGAATATCCCAAGAAGGCCCCACCAAGCTTTTATCAAGTGACGAATAATTCCAAAGAGAGGCCAGATGTTTGGATTGACAGCCCAGAGAAGTTAGAATTTATATAATTATGTATAAAGGTTCCAATGATTATTCCTACAATAATGTTCAATTTTAACCTCTTCGTTTTGCCCCTTTCGTTTCAGATCAATAATACTTTCTATTACCAGTGACATTCGAACTATAAGGTCTGAGGTGTGTTCTTACGACTAGCATATTAAATTTAGTGTGTTCATAAAAGAAAATATATGGCCGAGTAAAGTTGCCTTATAGGCTCTTGCATGATCTGATAAGTTTTCTATCATTTGTTTCTCTTGTAGGTTTTTGCTGCACCATACAGCTTGAGATTTCCACGTATTGACCGAGTTAGATATGACAAGCCTTGGCATGAATGCCTTGATGTGCAATGTAAAAGGACTGACTGTGTTCTCGTGTTTCTTTTGGTGTCTAGATTAGCTTATGTGCGGTGATTTCTCTTTTTTTATTTTTTTAATATTTACAAAAGAGAAACTGCATTACGTTCATTTTGGTGTCTATATTAGCTTATGGGTGGTGATTTTACTCTTTTTTTAATTTTTATTTATATTTAATATTGATAAAAGAGATAAGCTGCATTAAGATATAGCTTGTATGAAAATATTAATCTTATTGCTATTATTTTTTTTCCTTTTATTTTCTTGCTTTCCTTTTTGTCTTGTAATCGCAGCATTTATAGAGCTGGTACAAACAACCAATGGCACCACCCATAGGGGGACAGATTCTGCTGCAGTGCAACATAGTAAACAAAAACGCACGAAATCCTCTACAAGGGAAGACAAAAAGAAGCTGTCTGTCGTTCCTTCACATTTAGTTCAAACAGATATTTCTGGTGTTAAGGAGGGCGACACAATATTTTCAGGCATGATGTTCTGTATCCTGCTAGAATTGTTTTGCTTTCCTGGTTGATATATCTTTATGTGAAGTTTTTGAAATAAAAATGTCTTTAGGAAACATAATCTAGATCTCATCTGATTCTTGTCTTCATGGAATTGATAGACTGCAGACTTAGTTTCTTCTGTTTACGCTTTTTGGGAAGAGTAACTATTTCCTATCAGTAAGGGTAAATCCTAAACCTACCACTAGTATAAGGTGAAGACTTGGATGGAGAGAGTATTTGTGATGGAAAAGGCGGCTGACATTTTGCATGTTTTACGATTATAAATATCAGAATATGCCAATCATGGTCACCATTACTTTGCTTTTCTTTCTGTGGTTACCTGTATACATTCATGTGCTGAAATATGGGACTTGTTACCTTACTGGTCTTTAAATCCTGGTTTTTCCTGCTGTACTAAAGTGTCCTTAACAAGTTCAGACTTTGTGAATGTGCCTCCAACTCATTCGCTCGACTCCTTGCACAAAATGGTTGCTGAAAATGGGGGCACTTTTTCCATGAATCTGAACAATTCAGTCACTCATTGTGTTGCAGCTGAAAGCAAGGGTCTCTCTCTCTCTCTCTCTCCACACACACACACACACGCATAGGCACAAACATGCAGACTTGCAACCACATATTAATATATTGCAAACACACACTCTCTCTCCCCAGACACATTCACGCATAGGCACAAACATGCACAGACTCGCAACCACATATATATGTATTGCAAACATTCTCTCTCTCTACACACACACGCATAGGCACTAACATGCAGAGACTCGCATCCACATATTAATGTATTGCAAGCACACGCTTTTGGTGGCTGGAATTGAAAAGTTAATTTTTTGGCAGGGATTAAATTTCAGGCGGCGAAGCTTCGTGGAGATATTATTCATTACTCTTGGCTATTGAATTGCTCTTCTCAAAAGAAGCTCCTTCCTCTACAACCAAAGTTAGTCAACATATCTCCTACTTTTTGCTTAATCAGTCATCCCATCTAGTCCGTTTGCTTATTTCTAATCACATTGCAGCATAATCATCTTTTGTGCTTTTTGATGATTTGAAGGAATGCTTTTTAATAAGATAGCTTAATGGTGTTTCTATTGAAGGTATTTCCTCTTTCTATCTGATTCTTCAAAAAAGAAGTTACAAGAAGAAATTGATGAGTTTTCTGACTCGTACTACTGGGATCTAGACCTTGCTGGCATCAAACAGGTATGTTGCATTTGCGTGTGTATATACTTTTCCATAGCACTTGCATAAGTGGTGTTTTGAACACCATATCATCTCTGTTATTCCCGTAAGAATAGAAAGAAGCCCTTTAATTTGTAGCATTAGGAGTTTCACCTGGGGAGTTATTGGAAATACATTGAGCCTTTTACAAAGAAAAATTTTTATACGTTTCATTTTCCAGCTCTTAAGCAATGTGGATAGAGCGGAAGATACAAAAACAATTGATCATTTCAAGGAAAAGTACAGTCTGGCCAAGTGGTCCCGCTTCCATGGCTGCTTCATATACTTCCACGCGTCACCAGAGTCTCTGTAAGATATATATATATATATATATATATATATGTATTTTTAATTTTTTTGCTTCAAGTGTTTTACTTTTGTGATAAACTGATTTTATCTGAAATTTTCTCTATTTTTAGCTATTAGTTTGTTTTCTAATGAACTTTCTCTTAAAGGAAACCGGATTGGGAAGTGTTGTTGGGGCTCTCTCTTCGGAGGTTAAAAGTTGAAGTCAACATGAATGGTGGCAGAGTCAGCAATAGTCTTGCTCAGGCTACCCATTTGGTTGTCTTATCAGTCCCAGGATTTACCCTGGACTTGGAAAATGTATTGCAAAGGTAATATGTCTATATGGTGTAATTGAGTATGCTTTGTAGCCACTTAGCTAGCATGCTATATATAATGTCTTATCACGCTTGAGTTTTGATATCTCTTCATCGTTTACCTTGTCATTTTTTTATTTATTAAATTAATGCTTGTTCAAAGTGTTGAACTACTTTCCAAAGTGTTCGCTATATGATCATTTTGCTGTGTTAATCTTATGCCATTTTTTTCATTACTTATTTAAAAAGGCGTGTTTTGCCGTTATAGTGTGTTCTAACTTGTTCCAAGTTCCAACCTTTACTTCCCACCAGTTTGGTTATAAATGGTAGGACCTATAGTTTTATTCTAATTCATTTTTTTGGGTGGAGCTTCCTAAATTGATTCACAACACCATGGTAAGAAGTACAATAAAATGAAGCTATGATTCTTTTTCCAAATATTGTGTGTGCGCAGATTTCATGGTAACAACAAATGACTATTTTTGTGGTCTTTGGATGCTTATTATAGGCCGTTCCCTCTTTAACCCATTATTAGTATGTTAACATGTTTAAAAATGTTGCTAATTCGGTGACTAAGCTTTTCTATGGTTTGTCCATGAACAGTTTTAGTGGAACGGAAAAACGTCTTATCTGGAATGGAAAGTTACATATTGTCCAATCTCAATGGTTGGAAGATTGTGTGGAAAGGGAACAAAGGTTGCCAGAAGAAACATATAGTTTGAAGCCTTTGCTGGAACAGTTGAAAATTGAAGATTGGTGAGTTAAATACATTCTAGAATGTAGTACGTGTGATCAGAACTTCATACAAGTTTAGACTGTCAGCTACTTTTTACATGTGTTGATCTGTCTACAGTTACAATTCAGTCATTGCTATTATTTTTATTATTCTTATGATAAAACTTAGACTAGTTGTGACAAAAGTGGCTAAAGGCTCAAGGTTGAGAATCCTTTCCAAATTGAACTTAAAGTGAGCCATGAAATCGTTACACAGTCATTGGATTTTCAGTTCCAAGCTATGGATACTGAATGACCGTCTAAGTGCCAAATGCGTTGCATGGTACTATGGGGTTGCTCCTTTAGGTAAACTTCTATAAAAGGGTATTTCTGCTTATTTTGACAAATTGCGACTTTGGGGGAAAAAAAATACAAGAGAGGTTTTTTCATCTTTGCAAGTAATAAAGGTCTACCTAAAAGAACTAATCCTAATTTTAGACTAATGATGCTTTTGTATTTCCTTTGTTTCTTCAGGAATCAGGACATGGATCTAGAAGTCTCTTCTGATCTCGACATTGTGAAGAAGCAGAATGTTTCATTGTCACCTAGCAAAGAAGGAAATAATAGAAAAGGCAGTGAGGCTCCAGAAAGCCCAGGAATCCGGCCTGTACTTGAGGTTGGTTCCAAGAGGAAACGAGGAAGACCTGCTGGGAACAGAGGAAAAGCAGTGGCAAAGCCAGCTCGTAAAACTCGAGCACGTGTTGGAAGTAAGGCTGCTAAAATATCTGGAAACGAATCGGATGATAGTGTTTCTGATGAAGAAAACACTACTAAAGAAGAGAGCAAACAACTGGGGGAAAGTCATGGAAATATAGTTGAGGAACAATCGCAAATAAGCAAAGCAAAAGGAGGCGCCAAGCAAGTTCGAAGAACAAGGGCACGCATTGGAAAGAAGCCTGCTAAAATATCTGGCAATGAATCAGAGGATAATGCTTCTCAAGACGAAAGTACATTCAAAGAACCGGCCAACAAGCAAATAGAGGATATCCATGAGAGGATAGATATAGGCACTTCACAAACCCGTGAAACCAAAACGATAGAAAAGTCCGAGTCATCAGAAAAAGGCAATGCGGATAAGCAAGAAGGTGAAGGGAATATTAGGTATTGGTTCAATAAAGTTCCTGAGAATGAAACGAGTGAAAAGCAAAATAGTGAAAACAGTCAGCCGCCGCCGCCGCCGCCCGAGAAGCTTGAACTTATGACTGATCCTGTTCATGCCATGTTGTTGGACATGATTCCGAGGCTTGGAAAGGAGAAAGTCGAAATTACAAATACAAGTACTGAAGATAAGAAGCCAGCAGTGGATCCTAATGCACCACAGCCTAAAAAGAAGAAAGTTAGCTACAAGGATATTGCTGGGGACCTACTCAAGGATTGGTAGTTACTTTTGTGTTAGCCTTTTGGTTGCATCTGTATATAATTAGTTTCTTATTGTATATTTATCTCTTTTTTACTCGCTTGTTACTATGACACTCCTATTAAGTTTCTCAGTGTATAATGTATATTTATCACTCTTTTGGCTGTAAAATTATTTGAAAATGGGTGAATTTTAATTCTCTGATGCTCAATTTTTGCTGTCAAAAGAATCGAACCTATAAAGTATGGGCCGTGTTTGGTGTGCAGGATTGAATTCCATGAGATTACTTTTAAGGTCAGATTTTATTTAAATTTGATCATACTTTATATCATCATTCTTGGAGTATATTAGATGAGACGGTAGTTATTTTTCCCAATGGGACTACTTATCCCATGAACGCGGAATAGGGGTTGTACGTCCAAATTATTCGTCCAATCAAAATACTAAAGACACTAAGGGGACGTTTGTTTCTTATATTCGTCCCTGATTTTGAATCATGATTCATGATTTTTTACAGTATTTTTTCTCACAAAAAATACACGTAAAACGAGAATGATTCTGAATATATAAACCAAACGTCCTCTATCTAGTGCACTAAATGCACCTAAAAGCAAAATTTTCATTTTCATTGAAATTTGTTCGGTGGACTGATGTTTGTACTAGACAAGAATCTTAACTGAAACGCCATTGTTGTAATAGCCAGCATTTCTAGCTTCCCAAAAGTAGAAGAAATCTGAACAGAAAATTTCTCTCAATACAATATTGAAAGCATTTGTGGTCCACTACAATCAACTATGAAGACAAAGATGAAACTATGGAGAATCCTTCCTGGTTAGAAAGTACAACAATGGCCAACAGAATCACCAACCATACTTGGCCTGTGTTTCGGCTTTTGTGAGAAAGCCCTTTGCACGCCTCTCTGCAAGCTCCATCTCTTTCTGCCTCATATCATAATACAAAGAACTAATCTGATGCTTCCTCTTATGCACCTTTGAGGGCTTCCCCTTTGTCGAAACCGGCTGAAAAAACCATACAAAAGAGTGATTTTGTTTACTTATAAACTGAAAAATTGAAATGTGATTTATATATAATCTTAAGTAAATGAGAGGCCAAACATCAAATAAATGATTCAGAATTCTAACTGAAAGAAACTATGCAGAACTAAGTAAATAAGGAGGCCTTCACTGAAGACACAAATTATATGAGACTAGACCACTCTATGGACATACTTGTCTCTTGCATTTTGACGTTAAGAGTTCTAGCCTGTTCTGTTTTTGAACAAACTTTATGCCACAGTTTGTAACAAAAAACTGAGATCCTATTTTTTTGCTAGTCATAGACTCACAAGTGTATAAAATCCGAAGATAGTGCTAATACCTAGATTTCAGGAGTACATGATGCTTCCATCCAGAGAACGATTAAGGTACTCAGTTTCACCTAATACTAAAGAACAAGACTAGCAAAAATAGGCAAAGCCCATCACAAGTGAAAAAACATGTATACTGAAAAGTAAATAACATCACTTCATCGAGCAGGAAGAGTTCTGTTAGAACTTGCCACACTTTAAAGAACGACTCATATCCTTTTTAGTTTCTAGGTTTCCCATCATAACTTGTGTATCACTTTGGACTGAGCCTTATTTTTATTTTTTTATTTTTTATTTTTTTATACAACATGGGATCGAACCTGCAAACCCCCAAACCCCATCCCACCCAAACCCTCCCCGGTGCCACTAGACCAAATGGTCTTAGGCACTTTGGACTGAGTCTTATCAGAATGTCTTTTACGAACTTTGTGTTGGCCAAGGCCAATCAGAAAGGATAGTTCGATTAAGATTTGGCAATTAATTAAGGAGCTATCCCCAGCTCTAGAACTCATTAAGCAAGGACCCACCGTGTCTTTCGTCGACTTCATCACATAGCTTACAATAGAGGGGAAGGAACCCAGCTGCTCAGGTCCAAAAGAGACCCTCAAAGGAAGATCAAATTGCCCCCTTAACCGGGCAGTTTGGTCTTATGCAGCAGGAAGAGGCAGTGGATCACAATTACTTAAACAAGCCCAATCCTCTGGTGTATTCGATTCCACTACCCTTAGGACTCTATGAAGTCATTTAATAGAAGACAGACAGAAGTTACCGCACAACTCATTCTCAGATGCCCGAGAGAAATTCTTTCCTTGTTTGATTGTCGGGTTGGTAGATTAAAGTTGCACCCCTCTTACCCACCCTTTTCGGCGGCAACATCCCCTCATATGTACAACTTAAAAACAGCCAAGATCAAATCGCTCAAATTTACAACTGAAAAATTTGACTAAGTGCTTGATAGATCTTTCATAGACTACTAATGTAACTAAATTTAATACAAATTACAAACACTGAAACATACACATACTTTATTATTATTCGAGTTCCCCTACAGCCATTAGTTATTATTTGAACAGTTTAGCGATCTTAATTTGGTTTAGGAGTTTCCTACTTTCAGAGACCAAATTCTACCCTCCAACAAAGTACACACCACTACTAAACATGAGGATGCTACAACTCACTGCCATCAAATCTACAACAACGATAGAGAAAAGCAATAGCATGACCTATAATCATGTTCAAGAGACAATTTAATGGCAAACAAACAAAGACTAGGGGCAATTTGGTATTGCTTTTCGAAGCCTCAAAACTAGTTCGAACATGACACACATACAACAATTAAAGTCTAATGATAATTCACGATTCTTAGTTATTTTGCTAGTTAAAAGTAATATATTTTCAAACAGAACAAAAAATCCCAAACTAAGCCAGAAAACAAAATCACAAGCACAGTGTAGTACCTGATAAGAAGGTCCAAAAGCAATTCCAGTCGCCTTGACCTGGTCCTCCCTCGGCCTGTTCTTGATCAACTCATCTTGCTTCACTTCCACAATCTCCGTAGGAATCTCACTCCTCCCTCTCTTCCCCTTCCCTCCAAAACCACTTTGCACCGCACCCAAAACCTCCGGCACCGCAGCGGCCGCCGCTGACCCTCCATCCCAATTATTCCCATAATGCTGCCCATACTCACCATAGCTCCCATAACTCTCATAACCTCCATAACTCGAACCATCCCCACTTTGATCAAAACCCGAATTGTAATTCTCATAATAGCCGTAATTTACAGCATTTTGATCACTTCCCGGTTCATAATTAGCATAACTATACTGCTCCGCATTATTCACATCATTTTGATCAATACCCGAATTATCCTTACCGGCAATGGATTCGTCCTTCTCCGGCCTCGGATCGCCTAAATTCGAAGCGGGGACTTCGGTTTCGATGATGGCTCTCCGACGGGAACCGGCGGAAGTAAAAGCGCCGCGAGAGACGGAGTTCTTGGGAGCGGGAACGGCGGACATTAAGTCCTCCCATAGGGCATCTTTGGACGAAAAGGATTCGGGGACGGAATCCCGCCTTCGCCTTCCCTCCTCCTTCTCTTCCTCATCCTCGTCGTCGTCGATTTCGGAAGATTTGACGGAATAGGGGTTGATTGGAGGCTTGAATTGGACGACCCTTTTGGGATTGGTCTCTGAAGATGAGAAATTCGAAGTGGGGTTTTGGGATTTGGGCTTGGTAAGAGCGGAGAAGGCGGAGGGGGGTTTTGGGGTGGTTCTGGAATCTTCGAGCGGGAAGAGAGAAGAAGATGAAGAAGAAGAGGATTTGGGTTTTGGGAGGGATGAGAAAGAGGGAAAAGAGTCGGGTTTGGGCGGCGGCGATTGAAGCTGTTGTTCGTGTTGTTGTTGTTGTTGCTCTTCTTCTTCTTCTTCTTCGTCGGAAGAGGCGTAATTTGCGAGCAGAGAATCCATCACACAGAAGTGAAGAGAACCAGAAAAAGAAAACGCGGAGGTGCAAGAACTAGTTTATAGTAGGCTGTTCATGGATTGGGTTGGTGCGGGATAGGACTTTTTTTTCTTATTTTAAAGTGAGTGAGTTATACATATTTAGTCCTAATGATGTTAAAAAAATTTCACAACCCAACGATGTTCGGGTTGAGTTGGGGCAGTACGAGATGGGTTGGGTGGTCAGTTTAAACATTCAAAAAATTAAAGACTTAAAGTTTAATATAATATTCAAACTTTATCATTAAATAAAAATAGCAACCATTTTTATCAGTCCGGCGAGAGAGCACCGGAGAACGTGGGCAAGACGGCGGCCGAGCGGACTGAGCAATGAGGAGAGAGTTATGAGGGGGTTCACGGGAGGGGAAGAAGAGGGAAAACTAAAAAGGAAGAGGCAAGAAGAGGGGGTTCACGGGAGAGAAGACCGAGAATGAGATTGTGAACCTTAATGTTAGTGAGCCTAGGGTAGAACTTAGGCAGTTCGGCTTGGGCCAAAAGCTTGAGAGTATGTTGTGCGGATTGAGTTGGGAATTGCGGGTTGTTATGGGCCCAACTCGCAATCCGTCCCAAAAACTTCGGGTCAGAGGTATAATGAGTCGCAAATTTAAAAATAGTGCTGCGGATTACTTTTTTCGACTTAAATTGAGGCGATGTGGGTTGGGTTTACGGATTATTCGGGTTTATGAACAGTCCTAGTTTATATATGGTGGCGCTAATTGGTATTACAAATTTATTATTTGCCACGGAAGTTGCAGTAATTTATCAAAATATTCTCAAATTTTTAACCATTGCTATTAACCTCAATTGGCTGACTTCTGTTATTAAATGGACGGAATTGCCCACGTGAGGCGAAGCTAGCCAATAGAAAAAAAAAAAAAAGAGGCTTATCCCATTAGAAAATATACAACAAGAGGGCAAGATCATATCCCAAAATTAGCGTAAGAACACTTGACTTAAACACTCATGCTTCGTTCATATCACCGATTTAAGTTTTCAGTTTTAAGTTTCTACAGTAAAAAGTGTTAAAGTATAAAACTATTATTGGTCCACCTCCTAACAGCTTAAGCTTTTGGGATGGGTTGGTAAACTAATAACATGGTATCAGAGCGGAAGGTCCTGAGATTAAACCCCCGTAATTGCACTCTTTATCCCCATTTAAAATTGTCATCATGTGTTGGGCTTTAATATATCTCGAGCTTAAATATTCACGTGTTGGGCTTTCCAATTAATTTACCCACACGATTGCCCATTGTCCAGCCCACATGTGAGAGGGAGTGTTAAAGTATAAAACTATTGTTGGCCCACCTCCTAACAGCTTAAGCTTTTGGGATGGATTGGTAAACTAACAAAAAGCTCTCAGAAAATGTCACATCTAATTTTTTCTGTTATAGTGAAAAACTCTCAGAAAATGTCGCATCTCAACTCGAATTAAAAACTCAAATTCACGAAATGAACAAAGCCTTACACTTAAGAACCTTCTAAAAAGAGAGATCTTGAGTTCAAATGTTAGGAGACGTGAAGAAATTTTTGAGGGCCGTTAGATGTTCAGAAAAGCCAGTAATGTTTTAATCTCATTTTATTTTTATGTGTTGAGTTATAAATACCTGCTTCTTTAACAACACAACTCCTCGGTAAAGCGGATAATTATATACCATGCATTGCACTACGTAATTACGACAATTTTTCAGTCTCCTACAACCAAACGACATTGTGTTTCAATTATAGGAAATGCCACTATTCAAGGAAGCTTTACTATTTCCTTCGCACAACAACAGATTTTCAAATTACCTTTTCCACCGCATGTAGGATGCTTCATCTGATAGCTGCCATTTTGAAGTTTATGGATGATCCCTCCCCTGTGGAGGACGTGAATAAGCAACTAAGGGAACGCAATTTCATCCTTCAGGAACTCAAGGAGAATCTTCTCAAGGCCCAGGATCGCATGAAGAAGCAAGCTGACCAGCGAAGGCGTGATATAACTTTTCAGGAGGGTGAATTAGTCTACCTAAAATTGTAACCCTACCGACTACGCTCGCTGGCCCGTTGGATGAATGAAAAGCTCAGCCCCCGTTTCTATGGTCCATTCCGTGTGCGGGAACGAGTGGGAGCAGTTGCCTACAAGTTGGATCTTCCTTCCACTGCAAAGATCCACCATGTTTTCCACATTTCCTAGCTACGCAAGGCCATCAAAGTTGAAGCATCTGTCAGTGATTTTCCTACTTTTCTTAGCGCCGATGGTGAGCTTCAAGTGCAACCCGAAGAAGTCATAGCCAGTTGCAAGCTGCTCAACGGCAACCATGAAGTTCTCATTAAGTGGCAGGGTCTGCCCTCGTTTGAAAACATATGGGAGTCAGCTGCCGCCATGTCTGCTCAGTTTCTGACATTCCACCTTGGGGACAAGGTGCATGTCATAGAGGGGGGAAGTGTTAGGAACGTTCGGTTTGGTAATGTGTACTCCAAGAGGCCCAAGAAAGGGCCCAAATACCTAAGCTACAGGTGTCACTTGATGATTGGTCACATGAGAAATTATGTTAGTGGCCTAACCGAATCATGAATAAAAGGGCTAGATGCTAGGAGTGAGGTACGACATTAGTGGGTGGAGGTAGCAGCGCCTCGAAGCTGTGGGACTTGTAATTCTTTTGCTTCCATAGCTAATACCAGTTGAGGGCTCTGAGACATTCTCAGCTCTCTTTTCTCAATTAATCTCTTGTGTTTGGTTAGCTTTGACATGTGTTAGCTGCTAGGAATTGTTCATTGCAGGTCGGTACCTATCACATACATATCGAATTCACTGTATCATGAAAGACAAATAATAATATTAATAAATTCTAGTAGATAAATAAGAACTTAACTTATTTGATATAGTGGATATATCAGATACTTAAAACTAGGGTTTAAGTTGGGACAAATTAGGGATACATATTTGGGTGAAATATTTGGGGGCTCTCGAAGGGTGTGGAGTTCATAAAAGATAATTTGTGTAATTGTAAGAAGCCTAGCGAGCATAATTCTTTGAGCATCCATCAAGCATATGGTTGTTCTCCAAATTTAGGATCATTTAACTCTTTGAGTGTTTGAAACATGAAAACCCTAAATGCCTCAATAACAATGGAAACTCATAGCTCAATGGGAACTTTGCTTTCTATTTTCCTGCCAAAACGACAATAGTAGGCGTTTTGATAGAAAATTCCCTCAACATGCATGCGAGTAACAAACAATGAATTTTGTAAAGAAATAAGTAGAAAATATAAACGATTGGTATACTCTACTGACATCGAGTTCGGGAGCTATTTTTTTTTGGGAGAAAGAGAGAAATAGGTCAAGATTTGAGATGAATTAAAATTAATAAGCCAATAGTTTACATAAGTTAATAAATAGACTAAATTACTGTTTTCGTCCATAACTTGTCTGACTATGAACCATAACTTGACAAGTTATTGTCCATAACTTATCTGGTTATGAACCATAACTTGACAAGTTAAGACATATTAATTTCTATAACTGAAAATTGGCCTATATACTTTCTTAAGCTTTTCATATTAGCCTATTTCCTATTATTTCCGTTTTTTTTAAAGCACTAGTTTAGGTACGTGTGGATGCACGTATTAATTAAGCTGTCATTAAAAATTTTACAACATAAAATATAATTAGCAATATTTGAAAAATAAAAAAAATTAAATAAAAATCTAAAAAAAAGTATATAAATAGTAGTCTAAGTGGAAATTAGCTTATATGATTAACTAGTCGACCTTTAAAAAATATATACTGCATAATAATACGATAAGGATACATGTACGTATGCATAATAAAATGAACCAAATTAACATGGCGTTAGAGTTTTGAAACAACTCTATTCAACATTTGAATACACCCAACAAACACAACATATGCTTTAAGCATAAAAAGAAAAAAAAAATACACACACACAACAAATATATAGTATAACACGCATGATAGGGACCTTTAAAAAAATGATACTGCAAAATTATACTATAAAAATATATGTATCTATAATAAAATGAACCAAATTAACATGGCCTTAGAGTTTAGAAGTTAAGGACTCCTTGAGTTCCCTCCGGAGGATCTTTCCGGCCGGAGATTTCGGTATTGAATTTGTAAATATCACCTTTCTGATCTTCTTGTATGGTGCAACCTGCCCAACAAAAAGATATGTAATTATTTCTCAGAAGATGGTAATTACAAGCATGTATAGAATGCAAAAATAAGAATGGAAATTACCACTTTGAAACATAAATGGAAAATATATATTATTTATAATGACAAAGAAATTCATGGCACCACATGTTAGGGATAATTGGATTGGGAGAGAATAATAATTGGTTGTACTCACATAACTTATGATTTTTTTTTTTTACTTTCATGATATACAAAAGTGTTTTAATTTTTTGAAAACTCGACCTTTCATTTTTAAGTATCTCAAGTTATTCTTTAAAGTAAATATATTACAATGGTATTTTTGAATTTTGCAGGGCTACCTCAAATCTCAAGGATATAGTTGTAATATCAGAAACTAAGAGATTATTTTATAAGAAATAATTATTTTCGCAAATATATTAGAAATTATTAAGTTATTAGGGTACGTTTTTGTAAATGCGACTAAAATTTTTTATGGTTTTTCATATCATTACTCAACAAAAATAAGATGGAATTTAAAATAGTAATAGCAGTAATAATAATAACCTGTGAAGCCACATAGTCCATGACATCTTTATGGGAAAGCTTGCTTCCTTGCTTCCTAACCACGAATGCCACCGGTATCTCCCCACATTCTTCATCCGGTATACTAGATAGAACCAAAATGAAAAAAATAAGATTAAGAAGAAAATTATCAAAAAAACAAAAAAAACAAAAAAACAAAAAAACAAAAGAGCAAGAATTATCATATTTACTTTTGATATTCTACTTAATCACAAGGTTACTTTTTGACTTCTCAGCTATACTCGTCTATCTTCTCTTTTCAATTTTATTGGGTTTCTAACAAGATCCAAGTAAGGTTTCTTTTTTGTTGTTGTTGTTGTTGCTGCTGCTGCTGCTTTTATTTGTTCTATGTTTTCTTAATTATATAGAAAACGATTTCTATATCATTTTTTTTTTTTTTAGGAAATCTGAGCTTATTATACGGCGGAGGTCAAGCATAAAATAAATATTGCATTTTTTATTTATTTAAACTTGTTAATTGGGAGCGTGCTTAAGCCACATTGTCCCTAGTACTACAAATATTCTTGAGCAAAAAAAGTAAAAAAAAAAAAAAAAAAATACACATGTATATATATATTTTGTATCTTTCCTTTCATGAATATTTTTATATATGATCACAATGTTGCAATGTTTAATTTTTTTTTTCTTTTTTATGAAAAAATTTAATTAGTGTTATCAGAACCTAAAATTAAAGTCGAATTTGAATAATTATTGCATTTGTATACATCTGTAAGTATATAATGAAATTATTAATTTCAAGAAAAAATGGTATAAAATTTTTGAACAGTAGATATATTCATCACGTGCAATAGTAGTAAAAAAAAAGAAATATAAAACCATATAGAGGGATGATTTCATATGAATTATCACTTTTTTTTTTTATTCCTTACAATCATTTTAACGTAAAATGTATTTTACTATTAACGTTCCAAGTCTTTTACATGCGCACAAACGTTACTTTTCGTAACTTTACCTAAAACCGGTCTATAATAAAAAGAAAAGGAAAAGATAATGCATAGGACGAATTAGATTAATCGGATTGTGTTAATTTTTGTAATTGAAAGTCAATATATTCATATTTTAAAGATGGAATTTTTTCGGGTAGCACTACAAGAATCGAGTGTATTAGGCCCTGTTCGGTGAGGTAGTTTTTGAGTGAAAAACTCAAAAAAAGGTAACTCGAGTTATAATTTTATTCGAGTTTATATTCTTTTAAATTTGAACTCGAGTTTGGAACTAAAACTCGAGTTCAAGTTTTCCCTTCAACTCGAGTTTAGAAACTCGAACTCAAGTTAATGAACAATATTTTTTTATTCTTAAAAATATTATAACTTTTTCGTTTTAATTCTGATTGAGATGATTTTTTTTTTCTATGCGTTGACAACGAAAAGATGAATAAAACTAGACTCATATACCCTATTAAAATTTTTCATCAGCATTGAGTTTTTATTAAAATACTATCTAAAAATAAATTCAAGTTTTGACTTATTCAAACACAAACTCAAAAAAGATTCTTATCTCAAACCATAACTCAAATGTACACAACTAAACACAAACTCAAGTTACAACTTCAACTCAAGTTATAACTCAAACTCAACTCAAAATCTACACTCAAATTACCTAA